GCCAATTTGCCGCGATCTGATTGGTCGAGAGACGTGGCCAATTTGAATGCTACGCTCTGATTGGTCGTGGCCTAAAAGTGGAGGAGAGGGGGTAAAATTCGTCAAAAGTTTTCAGACTGAATTTTCATAAGAATATACATGGGGTTGTGGAGCAGGATCGGCACAGCTATTCTACTATTGCGAACGCCATATTGGAACCGCCATGATGTTTTTTTGAAATCACCTTTCGAGCTTTCGAGTTTTTAAATATGAAGCTTTTGATACGTCGATATTGATGACTTTTTATTCTGGGCAGCCCGCTATGCCCATTGACGTGAAACACTCACATACACATACATAAATTAATATAATAAATATAAAATAATACTGCAAACATTTATTTAAAGAAATCTGCAGTACTGTAAAGACACTGTTCGGTCAAATAAAATTTAAGTTCGTATTTAAATTTTGTTTCGGTATGAATAATTTTTATGTGACTTGGGAGCTGATTAAAAATTGTTGCTCCAATACGATTTGGAGCATTATAGGTACGATTTAATCTAGAGTAACGAATATGTAAGTGCGTAACTGACTACTTCGAGCTAATTGCGATGCGGATATATTAACAATTAACTCGCTTAAATAAAAAACAATTAGTATCTATCATAGTGAATAAATGTGTTACATCAAATAATGTGGTTGATATGACTGCTGGTTCATTGGAGAAACTAAAAAACATAATTCACAGCCGCTTTAATGCACAGTTTGAAGATTCTAATCTAGCATCCAACACAGAGGTGCAAGTATGCGATCAAGAAGGTTGATTATCCAGTAAAGTGCCAATTTGGGAAAAAATTTGGTTTACAATGTTATCTGGATAATTAAATAGATTAGCCTTGTGAAATACATTAAAAAGGAAATGTTAAGTTTGCAATGTGCAGTCAATTTAACTCAACTTGCAAAATTTGTTTGAAAAACTCTGAATACGTGGACTCTGTGTAGCTCGCTCATACATCTATAAAGTGTTTACAGCGGTGGTCATAGTTACCATCGCTCAGCTGTGAAAGACGGAGTGGGAGTAGCGCATATTTACTATGCAGTATAGGCAGTGTTATTAAACATAATTTGTTCAGGTGTGGTGTAAAATTTTGTTGCTTACGTATTGCTTCTTGTGTGTTTTTTGGAAGATTGTAAAAAGTTTAAATTGACTGTTAAGACAGAGTAACAGTAATTATATCGATTGAAAATCAATGGTGCGAGAAGTACCAAACATCAATGAAAAAGTAATTGAAAAGTTTATTTCGGACAAAAGCAGAAAAATGGACTTTCACTATGAAAAATAGATAGGCTGGTTGAAGGCTGAGGAGGCTGATCTCTCGTTGGGAGAATGCACAAGGGGCCCAATGGGGCCTAAGTGCTGTAGCTCAGTACACTGAGTTAGTTACCCTCCAAATTAATCCACTATGGAAAATAATGTTGAACACATTTTCCCTGTATTTCAAAAGCACCTACTTAAAATAAAATTGCCCAATTATATTTATTTTTATTTTTTCAGTACTTTGTACCTAATTTTTTTCGCCTTCCCTGGTATGGAAGTCAAGAGCCACCACTGAGTTTAAGACTATCAATGTGTTTTTGTGTTGTGTGAAATTTAATGAATTGTGTTTTGTCAGAGTTAAATTATAATGTTATATTATTCAACCAATTAATTAATTTCAAAATAATGAGTTCACATTTATACTTTATATTACTGCATGATTTTTCAGATAGGTACTAACAGAGACGTATTATTAGCGTAAAGAGTAAAGTGAGCTTCATCACAGAAGCCAGTAATATTACTAACGTATAAAAGAAAAAGAGCCGAACATGGAGCCATGAAACACTCCCATATTTATATTAACAGTATCTGACTTGTAGATATGTGTCGTGTCCTTACTCTGATAATAATTAATGCTCACATACTGACTTCGATGTTTCAGAAATGATGATAGCCAATTCACAGACTTACCTTTTAATATGTTATTATATAAAATATAAATTAAATTGCCATGATCGACACAGTCGTAGGCCCTGCCGCGATCACAGAAAATTTCAACAGGGCACTCACCATCATCAATAAATTGAATTGAATCGCTCTAGTAGTAGTAGACTTATTTGGTGAAAACCATGCTGATTATCTATTAAGACATTAAATTTGTTAATGAAAATTAATAACACAGAACCACAAAAAAATGAGTGGAGGGTTCCTTGAACCAGACCAAGTGGATTATATGTTTTTTGGGTCGCTGAGAGATTTAACTTCGTAATTCTACATAACCTCATAATTATGAGGTTATGGGTTTTAGAGTTATATGTGGAGATTTGATAACATTAATAATTCATCATTAGTTAATATAATGTTTTCTTTAAGCTGCATTAACTGCAAAGGAAATATGAGATATGTTCCAATTAGTTAATGTTACACATATTCGGTTTTGAATATAAATATGATAAATCCTTGGCATATTTCTCTGGACTTTCTATTGTTTAACTTCTATTTTTTTTTAGAGATCGAAAATAGCCAAAAAATAGTAAACGGTGAAAATGTAAAACAAATTGAAGAATTTATTAACAAAGTTCGTGGTATTAGAGATGTTCTCTGCAGAGATCATATGAAAGTAGCTTTTTTTGGAAGAACATCTAATGGCAAAAGTTCTGTTATCAATGCTATGTTACGAGACAAAATTTTGCCAAGTGGTATAGGACATACAACTAATTGTTTTTTACAAGTAAGTATTGATTTCCTCCTATTTTTGTTTATTTATTTTAAATATGATATCCAAAGACCTTCTACTTTTTTCTTCTAATTTAGAATTATTTTGGAATTTATTTTAAAAATCCTGTTTTCAATGAATGTGTAAGTTATATTGATGTCCAGATTACATCACTGAGTGCAACAACAGTTTCCGTTAGTGCATTAAACTATCAGGTGTAAGGTATCTTTATGTTGACTTTTATATGAAGTAAGATATCAGATTCCAATCATTTACTAACACTGTCATTTTAAAGAAAATAAGGTATTAAATTACAATTTTGTTGACTTAGCTAATCGTGAGAGAGCAGTGCATAAAATAGCTATTATTACTTTGTTAGACCAAGAAGTCTGATTGAAAATTCGGGAAAGAATTTGTAATTTCTTTCTCATTATAAGAATTATCCGTACTTACATAGGGAATTCCATCCGCTTATTTCTAAGGGATGACTAAGTATAATCCCGAAATCCCGGGATTATTTCGGTATTGAGGGTTACAAATAAAAAATAAGAAAATCAACTAATCAAAATTTAGATAAAAATCAACGTAATCATAATTTAGACAAAAATCAACGTAATCAAAATTTAGACAAAAATCAACGTAATCAAAATTTAGACAAGAATCAACGTATTTTACGGTATATACCTAGCTAATCTAATCACTAATCAGACTTAGAGTCAGACTAACCGGACATAAAATCACTCAGTCTTTATGTTAAAGTTATTCTTTTTCAAGAATCAGTGAGATCTCTAAACTTAAATAAATTGAAAAGACCTTTATATAAAAAATTATGCAAATAAGCTTTGAAAATTAACAAAAATCTGTCTTAGCATCGACTAAATAGATGTAATAAAACTGAGCGTTTCCCTTCATGCAGTCTATTTTGCAACTTTTTTAAAATGATGTATATCTTTACAATAGAACAACTTTATCATAGTGTTTTCATTCACCACAGCTGCACTGTATAAATTTAATTCACCAAATAGTTTGTGTGAAATTTCAAATATGACATGAGATTAACAAAAAAAAATATTTATCGAATTTCGGTTATTACTTAATACTAATAGTTAATGTTTCATAAGTTTGTAGTAGTAGGGAGCCCACGATGCTAAACAGGGATTTACTCGAGCGTCGTAGGGACCTATTGGATTTTGAAGATTAGATGGTAGAAAGAAAAAAAGGTTATATGATGTATACCCTGTCACCGGTGGGGGAAACGTCTACAGGCTTTCAAAAATGTAAAAAAAAACAGTCACATGGAAATACTCGGGCACGTCAGATATTGATAGTGTATATGCTCTACGTGTCTCCGATGATGGAGATATGTTAATCTGCCGATTTGGATGGTGGGGGCGGCCGTACGGAAAGGTTAAAAATGGGGGAAAAAAATTTACTCTAGCGCGTCAGATATTCAGAGGGGATGTTAAGTGAACCCGAACAAAGCTCCCATTCAAAAGACTGACGATTCAGATGTGACGCATACTCGTGGCAGCATTTTGAAAATCCAAAAAAAATCGCCATTTTGAAATACTCGAGCGCGTCAGATTTTCATATAGATGGTTCAGTTTGATGCCCTGATCGTGCTGATCCATAATCTGACGATTATTTGGAGGGTTTTTCTTAATCTGACGGTTTGAAAAAAACATTTTTTCATTATTTTTTTTAAATCACTGAATGTGACAAATAAAAAGCACGGAAAATAACATGCAAATAAAAACAAATAACAAATTTTGTTGAAATTTATAAAAAAAAGTTTTTTATTTTATTTTCTGTACACATAAATCTATTTCTTTTAATTATAATACATATAAACACATATAATATATACTTTCAGTAATCTCTTTCTCTCATAAAATTACAAATGATAAAGAAATAAGAGATAAAAAATATGGCCGAGGTTAATACATAGATAGATGGATGGATGGATGGATGGATGGATGGATGGATGGATGGATGGATGGATGGATGGATGGATGGATGGATGGATGGATGGATGGATGGATGGATGGATGGATGGATGGATGGATGGATGGATGGATGGATGGATGGATGGATGGATGGATGGATGGATGGATGGATGGATGGATGGATGGATGGATGGATGGATGGATGGATGGATGGATGGATGGATGGATGGATGGATGGATGGATGGATGGATGGATGGATGGATGGATGGATGGATGGATGGATGGATGGATGGATGGATGGATGGATGGATGGATGGATGGATGGATGGATGGATGGATGGATGGATGGATGGATGGATGGATGGATGGATGGATGGATGGATGGATGGATGGATGGATGGATGGATGGATGGATGGATGGATGGATGGATGGATGGATGGATGGATGGATGGATGGATGGATGGATGGATGGATGGATGGATGGATGGATGGATGGATGGATGGATGGATGGATGGATGGATGGATGGATGGATGGATGGATGGATGGATGGATGGATGGATGGATGGATGGATGGATGGATGGATGGATGGATGGATGGATGGATGGATGGATGGATGGATGGATGGATGGATGGATGGATGGATGGATGGATGGATGGATGGATGGATGGATGGATGGATGGATGGATGGATGGATGGATGGATGGATGGATGGATGGATGGATGGATGGATGGATGGATGGATGGATGGATGGATGGATGGATGGATGGATGGATGGATGGATGGATGGATGGATGGATGGATGGATGGATGGATGGATGGATGGATGGATGGATGGATGGATGGATGGATGGATGGATGGATGGATGGATGGATGGATGGATGGATGGATGGATGGATGGATGGATGGATGGATGGATGGATGGATGGATGGATGGATGGATGGATGGATGGATGGATGGATGGATGGATGGATGGATGGATGGATGGATGGATGGATGGATGGATGGATGGATGGATGGATGGATGGATGGATGGATGGATGGATGGATGGATGGATGGATGGATGGATGGATGGATGGATGGATGGATGGATGGATGGATGGATGGATGGATGGATGGATGGATGGATGGATGGATGGATGGATGGATGGATGGATGGATGGATGGATGGATGGATGGATGGATGGATGGATGGATGGATGGATGGATGGATGGATGGATGGATGGATGGATGGATGGATGGATGGATGGATGGATGGATGGATGGATGGATGGATGGATGGATGGATGGATGGATGGATGGATGGATGGATGGATGGATGNGAATGATCAAAAATTTGATGTTTAATAACACATTAATAGCGATTTCCTGGTAAACGGTTACATTTATCGGCTTGAACAAAGAGTACATATTTTTTTCTGATATTGTTTCTCTTTTCAATAATGTTTAAATTTCTGTGATGTCTAGCAAGAGAAAAAAGTTAAGAACCAAACAAATTTTGAGTTCTGGGTAAAGTGCCCTCTAGCGGCGCATAATGAAACTTTTCTCTGACTGGTCCAATAGAGCTTCATCTACTTAGTGGGTGTGCCAAATGAGAGACTAATCGAACATGAATTAAATAAGTTATTTAAATAAAAAAATTAAAAAAATTAACTTCGACAAGCTGTAACTTGCAAACAATTGACAATTCGAAACAAATTTTCATTACATACTGCTATTATTTTAATCCATAGAATCACCTCCCGGAGTTTCCTGACGGAGTTTCAAAACAACATCTATTTCCCTGCAGCTGCACGCGCTAAACTTTAGTAACAATTTTTGTTACTTTGGCTTGTGGAAATCGGCAGATTATATTTTTCCCGTTATCCTTGAATTATTTCCTTCAAAATAAAAAAAAATCGTCCGCGCTCGAGAATGCCGAGGTGACGTTTTTTTTTTTCAACTTTGTGACCTTCCGGCTGCCTTACGTCACGCTCAAATCGTCAGATTTTTGAAATGCACACTTTTCAACATGTAATTAACCCATCATATCTTAATCTGATGCGCTCGAGTATTTCCAACTATCGATTTTTTTTTACTACTCTGATTGGCTGCCCTACACGCGCGGCCTTATAAAGAGGACTTAGATATGGTGGAGGTACTCAATAGGGTGCAAGGTATCTCCCATATGTTAATCTGCTGCGCTTGAGTAACTCCCAAAATCCCCTCTTGGGCTCCCCTACTATAGATAGGTATAATTGATATCACATTTCATCCTATTTTTAAAATTGCAGTAATACACGCATGGAAAAATTCACCTGGCTACAAATCCGACCTTATCTGAACAATTTTAACACACTAACTCTATACTCCAGTCGAATTAGAGTTTGAATGTAAAAAAAAATATTATAGACATTTTATTGCACTTTATGATGGCAAATAAGTAGTAAATTACTTGTTTTTTCACTTTTTCTACTTCCCATGAAAATCTAGACGACATATCGGAAAATTCGTTATTTTATGTTGTAGGCAATTAATTACCTGCAATTTAAGGTATCTAAAGTCATATTTCACAAACTGTAAAATAAAGGTCGAACGCGAAAAAGTCAGTTTTCGAAAATTGCGCATTATTATTGCAAAAAACGATGAATGTTGATGAAATTTATTTAAAAGACGGTCTATCCAAAATCCAACATGCTATTTGTTAATTAATTTTGTTCGTTTTTTTTGCAACTAATTGTTAACGTTAGAAGTTAATATCGTAGATAAAGGTATTATATTATATTATATATATACAAACGTTGAAAAAGTATTTTAGAGTTGCAGTCGGTAAAATGTGAAATGGCCAAGAATAAAAATAAACACTCTTCGTTATATCGTCGAGCTTTCGGAAATATTTATTTCCTTTTTCAAGACATTAACATGAGATTAGTTTGAAAAGAGGATTCATTACACACAATAAAAACATATAAAACCTCAATGTTGATTATTACAAACAAACAAAATTAAAATCGAAATGCATGTGGACAGACAAAACAATTTCAGCCGTTACTGACGTTTGAATCGTAAGGAGTAAACATTT